TCTTAAGTGCACAGTAGTTAGGGCTTGGAATGTGGGAGGAGGAATTAGTGTTAGAGATCTCAGTTGTTCCAATCTCCCATGTGTAGTGAACTATTGCTGACTGGTAATGTGGAATTTTTTCCTTTTATTTTATTTATTAGTATTGTATAACTTTTATTTATTCCTCACATTTACTGGTACTACAGTATACAAGTGACCCTGGTCCATAATAGCCTCGGATAATGAGGAGTGCACAGAGATATTGTATATCGAAAAATACATGGTGAAAGTTGCAAGGTGGGAATGCATCCCCTCCCTATTTACATGAAATCTTAAGGGGAAAATTGACCCTGATATTCGTAAATTTGTTATTCGCAATGACTTAGAATGCATACTTTGTGATAACTGGGGTACTGTCTTCCTATACTGTACTGTACATTAGTGATAGCTAATTCTGGTGTAATGTCATTAAAGAAAAAAATATTCTGTTAACATTAGTTAAAGGAATGACTAGAAATTAAATTTAAAATAGAAATTAGAAATTAAAATGTTAAAAAACAATGGTTTAGTAGTTTTTAATATGTATGCTGTGTAAGTGCCTCGTCACATCACCTCCTGCCTCGTCACCTCACCCCTTGCCTCATCAGTTCACCTCACAATGTGTAGCATTTATTTATTACAGGTACTACTATATTATTTACTTTATTATTACAGTGTGTGCATTTAAAAAAATGTTTGTTTGCACAGTACAGTAATTGTAAGTACAGTAGAATATTTTGTGGCAGCAATTCATGGTAATTGAGTATGTTTGTTGCTTGGAATAATGAGGAACAATCTTTGGAACGATCTGAGTACAATGCAAAAACTGAACAGAAAGTGAACTAATAATCGAACACAAAAAATCTGAAATTGTTGAATTATATCAAAATATTCCGAACTTGGTTAATTCGGATTTTTCAGTAATTTGAGTGACCCAGAGCACATTTTTTGTCGAATGAAAGTATAGTGTATGAAGTAAAAACTTTTTTCCAATGATAGCCATAAATATCGCACTATATAAGATGATACCCGGAGTGATTTTAATATTGCACATTGCTCCTGTAGCTATAAGTGTTGCACAATTTTTATACTGTACATTTTTTTTAAGAATACAAAGGGGCTCTGCAGTGGCTAAATTGCCCTGGGCCCCGCACCCCCCTAGGGACGACCCTGGCTGTATACCTCATCACAGACATTTAAATCATGCAGGTGTCCCAATACAGTGGTCCCTCGGTTAACGAATTAATGCCTTCCATAAGAATCTTCATTTTGGTTAACGAACATAAATTCGGTTAACGAAATTCTTAGGAAAATGTTTCGACATGCTTTGGCATGCTCACCAGCTGGAAGATTAGTCCATCAATACAGAAATCGGTTCTAGGGCTTACATTCGTAAAAATTGGAGTAAATATCAAGAAGGTTGTACTATTCAATAATTTTCCAAGTTTTATATTAGAATTTTTAGTCATTTTAACACTTATTTAACATAATTGCGGTACAGGGAACTGGTGTGCCCATCAGCCACTTCACTCACCCACCAAGGCCTCAGCTTGTATCTCTGTTCAGTGGAGGAAACATCTTGCTTGTGGGTCTCTTGAACACAGAGTATTTTTACTTTTTTACAGTACAATTATTGGTCATTCTGAAATTTATTTAACATATTGACAATATGTAGTGCAGTGCAGTGTTGATTTAAAGAAAATAATCTTGAATTACACCTAGTGAAATTGAAATTTTATGGGTGAAATGACGGCATCAAGCATGGGGTAATTTCTCTTCCACCCCCACTTCCTTCTCTTCTCCCTTTTCCTCCACCCCCACTTCTAATTCCCATCATCAACCAGGAGCCTTGTACATACACACCTTAAAGTAAGTGTACTTTACTGCATTTTTTTTTTTACTCTGTATGTAATTTTCGGTGAGCTGGAACCAATTACCGAAAATCCCATTGAAACAATGGTTTCGGTTAACAAAATTTTTGGTTAACGAACGACCTTTTGGAACGAATTGTGTTCGTTAACCGAGGGACCACTGTACTGAAAAGTAAAAGTTTATAAAACCTTATTTTGTTCATATATAATGGAAGCTATTCATGTAAAGGGAAGTGGGAGGTAGTTTAATTTCACCATAATTCCCATATTATTAAGGTTCATATGGCACTGGGTTAATAAAACATCATGGTAAAATATTAAATATTTCCAGAAAAAATCCCACACTCGACCCCAGATGAATTATTGCATCATATTAAATTCCCAGTGCTCTATTTACATAGCATAAACAGTTGACTGTCCTCACATTCCCGTGTATTATAACCAGCGCTCTCCTTCTCTCATGCACCTCTGTTGTCAGTGTTCAAGGGGATTGGTGCTTAGTACAACATCTTTCTTCAAATACTTATTACCATATTTTACAGCAAAGACTCACGTTTTTGTCTGAAAATGGCTAAAAAAAATCAGCCTGCATTCTATATGTGAAAGTAAGGTCTCCCTTAAGCTAATGAATGCCCCAGTTGTTGTCTCCAGTAAGCTAAATCCTACCCAACCCAACTCCAGAAATACAATTTGTTTATTGCTTACTTAAACACATTTTTTTATTATTAATTAATTAAAAAATAATTATTGTAAATATAAAAGCTCTATCTATAACTAATGTACTGATGATGATAACCTGATACAGTTAATGTCTGTACAGCAGACACCCAATTCTTCAGAGGTAGCTAAGCAGTAACCATTTCTGAACTCTTACAAGCACTACAATCTATTAATGCCATACCTGCAACATGTATTTTTAAATCTACAAATACCTGATACAAATAAAGATTTACAGACAACTTTCTTTTCACATTTGTGTCTGTTAACATCGCTTGTGGCATTGTAGCCAGGTTAGACTCGTCAGTGTAACCACCAGGCTACTGGGCCAAGCTGTGAGGTATTGTGGTTGTTTTTCATCTCATTTTCGGGTAGATATACGTAACTTTCTTCATTAATATTTACTCAATTACATGCACACACCATCCTACAGACATAATGTGAAAAAAGTAAAAGAAATAATTGTCCTAAGGGGAAACATATGTGTAAGGTAGTAGGCAGCTATCAAACGGAGGTACTACTGCCTGGGAAGATATTGGAAGCAGAATGTGCGGTCTAATGGTAGACCCTGCTGCCATGTGGCATCACAAAAATTGTGACCAAGTCCCAGGTTGCTCATCTGACTTTCTGCCTCATTTACACACAATTGCAGGGTCCCAATTGTTTCTCTTACTTTGACAACACAACATATATAATGTATATCGTTTCTCACTCTTGATTTATATTTTTCGTTTTTGTATTTATTTATGGTTATTATTATTATTATTTTTATATTTATTATTTTGTTGTTAATTGTATTAATTATTATAATAATAACAGAAGTTATTATTATTATTATTATTATTATTATTATTATTATTATTATTATATTTTTGCCTCTCCAGGCCCTGATGTGGGTCAGTGACCTGTGCCCGGGTGGGCTGATCCACGTTAAAAAACAAAAACATGAAGGGAATATACATTTCTTTGCACACAAGTTAGCTGGCTCAGTGGCAGAGCGGGAGGAGGCGAGGTGTGTTGGGGGGAGAGCATTGTTAGGGAATCGGCGGAGGTAGCGTTACTATGGTGAACCAGGGAGTACAGTACATCCGGATAATTCGTGGATTTTTATTTTGCGGTCCTCTATTATTTGAGGATGACACCCTGGATGTGGTACCCAAGAATGTCTGCAGGTAGTTTTAAAGTTGCCGTCATTTTGGCGGCCGGAACAGGGAGACTTCTGTTCTAGGGACAGTAATTTACTTTACCTGTATTGTATATATGTGTGTGTGTAGACACATACACACAAAACATATACAAGTAAATAATAATAGGAAAATACTCTCACTAATGATCAGAAACAAATGTATATTAATAATGTTGAGTCTTCCCTCAAGTCCATTCCGTGCTTTCTTATTATTAAAGCACGGGAGATGAAGTAGACTTGAGGGATTACTCAACATTTTTTATATACATTTGTTTCTTATTATTTGTGAGAGTATTTTCCCGTTATTATTTACTTGTATGTGTTTTGTGTGTGTGTGTGTGTGTGTGTCTACACACACACACACATATATACAATGCAGGTAAAAGAAATAATTGTCCTTAGGGCAAGCACATAAAGGGAATATACATTTCTTTGTACATAAGTGAAAATGTATCTCCCCACAGAGAGCAAATGGCGACTGTGTTAAACTTTCATTTGGCCTTTATTTACTGGTTTGGCAGTACAGTTTTTTTTTTTAAACTTATTTATTGGTATTATTTTTATTTATTCCTTTCATTTACTGGTACTGTATATATTACCCTGTATTTTAAAACGATGGCTGCAGGAGGAAAATCCACACAATTTTTTTTTTCCTAAATGCTCCCTGCTAAAATGGGGGAGTGCATCTTATACTGTATGCCGTAAAATACGGTAAAATGATATTGTAGAGTATTTATTAGCACTTAGTAAATAATATTGTATGTAGTGTATTATATGTCTGCCTATACCCTGGTTTATTCGTTAACCAGTTGTCTAAGTGTACAGTATAAGTAGACAATTTTAACCATCATGCATCACTCAAAGGTAATAAATAACATTGTTATGAACACATCTCCATATCAAATACTTAACAGTATGTTTTAATAACCACATTGTAAGCTGATTTACTGAAACGTATCTCTCTAAGAATGCATCCTGAGCTTCCAAGGGGTATTGCTGTAAATGCATATACCCCTAATTACATTAATTTCATGGGGAAAATTCCTCTTTATCAAACGTTTCAGCATAAGTCACTTTTCTCTGGAACATATTCCAGACATATACAGTTGTGAGAACCCCACTACACCAAACTAATTTTATATTTTACTGTAAACTGAAATAACCCCTTTTCAAATGCTAAAGTTTTTTGTTTTGTTTTGTTTTTTCAGCGAAAGCAAAAACCACATCTCTACCGAAGATCAGCAGCAAAAATGATAATACTGTCAAGGTAAGTTGGAGCAGAAGCTTTAGTATGTTTCATTACTATAAATTGATTTAAGTTCTGTAGAATTTCTTACAGTCAGTTAATTAGCTACAGAACGTACATAAATAGAATCATATATAGAATGGAGTTTAGGTTGAATTTTATAAATTTTAGAACTGTAAAAGCATCAGTTTATCTAACAAGTAAGTGCTGAAATAAATATGGATTGATTATGGAATGTACTGAGTTTCTGTAGGACAATGAACAGCTCTTAATGTAATAATACAAATTTCACGATTGACCGATGCCTCTACAGTAAATGATTTTAGATTGTATTTTGCGGAGGAGGTTTCGGGAGGATTAAGATTAGCATCTACAAATGTAAGAAACTTCATAGGAGAATTGGTATAGCTTTTACATAGTGATTATTTTAGAGGACATACATAGAAGCAAATATGAATATGATACACAAGTTCAGAAATCTGTTTATTACAAGAGAGATTTTGAGTTATGGCTGGTCCTAAAATACTATTGTGGGAAAGGCATCAATAGGGTTGTTGAAAAGGAGAAAGGGCTGAAAATTGTCTCGATTGTATAAAATGAATATTGACTATTGTTAGAGCTCCAGCATTAGCTGTTATGGTGTTGGTGTATCTCCATGTGTAGTGGCAATGAAGTCATGGCTGAGTGCTAGTGTGATTTATAGATAGTCGGAAAGAGATGGGCAGAAGCATGATCATATGAGCTATATTAAGAGTTCTTGTAACATTGGATGTTCTTTCCATATAAGTTTGTCTCCTCTAGTTGTGATAGGATGCATTTGATATTCAAATACAGTCAACCCTCGTTTTACACGGTCCCACATTCTGCGTTTCCACGTTTACGCGGTACCCTGCCGAAACCGGAATGCTCACATTCCGCGGTGCGTGTACCCCTTTACGCGGAGAGCGGCTGGCGAGCCGCGCCATTTTTGGATCCAAACCTCCCACCATCTCTCCCGCCCTCTCCCGCCATCCGCCATGTTGTGTAAGCGGCGCGAGCAGGGTGCGCACAAGGTCGCCCAGTCATCAAAACATTACCGAGTTCTTCACCCGCCACCCACCACAGCCGGCCCAAGTCAGTGATAGTGATAATTATAGTGAGGATATGGACTTATATGGACTTTGAAGGGTTTGACAAAGAGGCCCTGCAAGCCTCTTTGGTGGATAGTGATACAATTGATACAAGTGATACAGGTGAGGGCCAATAATCTGCCCTCTGCCTTGGAACCAACCCCCCATCCCCGTGTGCCCAGTCATCTTTTCTACTAATGTAAGTGTTAAAAAACCTAATATTATTGATATTTCTCTTAATTATTAATTGTGTGTGCATACCATCATAAAATTAAGATAATATTTTTACTACAACATAGTTGTGTGTCGTCAAAAAGTGGAGTTTGGGGGTCGGCCCGGTCTCTATTTCAATTAATCCCATATGTTATGTTGTTCACTTTACGCGGTACCCTGTGGGTTGAATTAACCACGTAAAGTGAGGGTTGACTGTAGAGGGTAGGGGCTGGGACACTCAATTTTTGACAAAATGGAAGACATTAAAAAAATGACAACTGCTGGAAATTTTGCAAAAATGCCCTTAATGCCCCACCAATCACATTTCAGGATGAAATCATTCTGCCAAGTTCTAAAATAGATATGCTAGGTCTCACCATTTCCTCTAATATGTCATGGAAGCCACACATCCACAACATTGCTAAAACTGCCTCCCAAAAGCTGGGAATGCTGTACAGATGCCATAGCTACTTCAATCCTGAGCAGTTGCTTCAAGTTCATAAGGGATTCATTCGTCCTAACTTGGAGTACTGCTCTCATATCTGGGGTGGCTCTTCCTCTGTCCAACTGTTCGATAGGGTGGAATCAAAGGCATTTCGTCTTATTAACTCTCCTCCTTTAGTTGATAATCTTTCTTCCCTTTCTCTTCGCCGCAATGTTGCTTCACTCTCTCTCTCTTTTACAGGTACTTTAACGGGCAATGTTTGGTGGATTTGGCATCCTGTGTACTGCCGGCAAGACCGTGTGGGCTCGTAACACACGTCCTGCCCGCGGTGCCCACCTTTTCTCTGTGGATGTTGGTCACACTAGAATAACCCGTTATAGTACATCCTTCTTTCCTCACACAGCCAAACTGTGGAATGCTCTGCCTTCTTCTGTGTTTCCATACTCATACAATCTGTCTCACTTTAAAAAGCTGGTTTTCCGGCATCTTCGTGGTGTAGATTAATATAATCTTTTTCTCTTCTATTATTTTCTTTTTACTTTTATATTTTCGTCCCCTAGGCCCCATTGTGTGTCGATGACCTGTGGCCGGGTGGGCTATTTCCCGTAAAAAAAAAAAAAATAAATAAATGCTTTTGACATATATAAAGCAATAAGAAAAAAAAGATTCACCAGAATATATTATTGCACCCATAGAGTCAGATTTATAAGTACAGTAAGGAGATTGACATCATATGTGGAATGGGTACAGTAGAAAACCAAAATGTGTTGTCAGAGGTTAATCCATTTCTTTTGAGTTTACAGAAAAAATTATTTATTAAGCCACAGAGCCTTTTTATTTATTAAGGGAAAAATAGAGTCAGTACTAAACATTATGTTCCATTTAGTGCACTCTTAAATAATTGAATATGTGTACAGTCATCCCTTGGTTATCACGCCTAATTGGGACCGCGCCGAGTGCGTGATAACGTAAAACGCGATAAAGCAAATACAGAACCTATGGGATTTATTCTAATTGGTTCCAGGCACCCAAGACCCAACCCCAACTTTCCCATTTGACGACTGTAAAGTGGGTAGTCCACAAAACATGTAGGTATGCTTTCTTTATTTGAGTCCCTTGTCATAGGAGTCCGTTTTCTCTCGCTTCAGGACGCCTGAGTCCTCTGTTTTCTCTCAATCTTAGAGTGCACCCGAGACTTCGTTATTCCTTAGTAATGACACAGAATTTGAAATTGCAACCCCAATTGCAACAGGGGTTGCAATTGTTGAGGCAACTAGATATGTCTGATTACAGCAAATGTGTTATTATCAATTTGTAGGTGAAAGATTTTATCCTCAATAGATGTAGGTGAAGCAAGGGGGTAACATTACACCTGGAGGCAAATGCGTGATAACCAAATTCTCGGCCTGAAAAATGCACTATAACGGCAGGTGTGCAGATTTTGATGGAGGCGTGATAATGAAAATCGCGATAACCAAGTGCGCTATAACCAAGGGATGACTGTTTTGTAATTGATGATAGGTAAAGGATCCTAATAAATTTCTAATGACAATAACATTTCTACAGCCATATGTCGTTCGTGACTTGACTGGCACTGAGAGAGACCTTAATACCCTGAGTGGCTTTAGGAGAGACCTGGAGGGCTTGAGTGAGGGTGACTGCAACACCCCGATGACCCTAACCCCAACAATCAACACTGCACCCACAGTGATGATGCAAGCACCGATTCCCCCTCCACCTACACCTATTGCACCTCCCCTGCCTGACACCCCAGTGACTCCTCAAACACCCAGGGATGTATTACACAACTCGTGGGGAAGTGTTACTGGAAAGGACCCCAGGAAAGACTCTGGAATTCGCAGTAGAAGATCAAGCATACAAGCTCAGGTAATTAAGTGAAATACAATTATCAACATTTACTAAAATCTCTTCAATCTTCAGTTAGATTGTGCAATTCCTATTAAGTTGCTTAGACTTATTTTAGGCACAATTATTGGTAAATATTTTTTGTTCTTTGAGGTGGGGTATAAAAGCAATTATATAGAGTGCTCAAAGTTGTATGTATTAGTAGTACTGTAGTACAGAACAGGTTTACCTCTACAGTATTACCTCTCTATATTGAAATAATTGTTGAGCAGCCAGTTGGATATAAAGAGCTTTTTCTTATAAAACCAATCCAAAATGCTCTTCCAGCACCAAACTTTGTTTGATGTAAAGTAAAAGCCCAGAGTACTCGACTAATTAAGGCACAGTGACATCATTAATCAGATGGAATCTGTTATTCAGACACAGGAAGACACAGCTTTTCAAAACCACAACCAGCATATTACACTAACACAATTTAACTTATTTAAGCTCATAATAAATTAGTTCAACTAAATTATCATACTTATTATATACTTTCAGTGAATTCAGTTGTTTAAAGTGTTAATAGATGTAGGTAAGGTTCTAGATTTTATAAGTTATCAGCTGCAAAGATTTTTTTAAGGTGCTGAGTCCTGATGTACTTATATACTGTATGTGGTATGGATGGCCTTGCAAACTGCAAGATATTTTTTCAAATTTTAAAATATCTGTAATTTTTTTCCAAGATCCCTGTCATTATTCGGTTGTGTTGTTACTCAGGTGGTCCGGTACTCAGGGTTTTTACTGTACATAAAAAGTTAGGCATATTTAGTCAAGATAAATTGTCACATTACCAGAGTGTTTTCATTTAGAAATTATAGTTTGGTAACACAAGACTTTAAAAAACACTAAAAATTATACATAATCCATCAAAACATTCAATAACACAGATATTGTTCCAAAAGTAGTTCTGTATTATATAAACAGCTCCTTCCCTGGCTGGCTGGGTGGTGAGCTGTTTGCACTATGTAAACACAGCCAAATTTAATATGACACAATAAGCCATGGTAATTACCGGTAGTCCACAAAGTCGCAAATAGTTCACAGGAGTTAAGAGATGCACACACAAGGGCTGCAGCAGCTTGACCGGCTTGTAAACAAAGCAGCTGGGGCTGGCGTTCTTGTGCACTAAACGGCAATCTGGATTGCCGTCCAGATTTTTCTCAGTTAATCCATACTTTTTCCAGATTAAGTAAACCTACTCTGGAAATCACTTTTCCTGAAATTTGCTTAATACAGACTGGATCCACCCCCTCCCCCCTCCCATTAGTCCTGATTAAGAGGGTTTTACTTATTGAAGTCCAATTTATCACGGTTTTACTGTAATATTTTCTTTCTTATCAAGAACGGTATTGGGGTAGAGGTGGAAGTGATGAAGTAATTATTTATTTTATTTTATTTTTTTCAATTAATATTACTTTTTTTTCATGCCCCCTCCTCTCTTATGTAATCATATCAGGGATTTTCCCTCATGGAAGCCAGATGCCTTATCAGTGCTAATGGTACATTACCTGCCAAAAACTCACTTGCAAAGCCTCCCTAGAATCTCAAGTAAAGGCATAGATAACCTAGGGAAAATAAGTCCATATTTCACCTCCCCAGACATGCGCCCTCCTGGTTAGTTTGTTGTTTGAGCATCAGGCCTATCAACTGTCAGGGTCATTAAGCCAGTCGATGTCAAGCTACATCCATCAACCTTAACACCTTCCTCCCTATTGTGATGACTACCTGGTCCCATTGACTATTCGACACCTCCTGGTGGAGTGCCCCAGTCTCAGAGATCTTTGTCGTAAGCACCTCTCCCATTGCCGAGGGGGAGACGGGTTCTTACCGCCTCCCTTTGGTGCTGGGGGGGAGGGAGTGGGTAGCGTAAGTTTTATGTTATATGTTATTTATGTTTTTACCTTGCATTATTTGATCTTAGTCTTTTAAGTCTTTATTTTAATTCGGCAATATGTGACCTAAGCTGTTGCGGCGCCAGGGATGTAATTACAGTACCATAATCAATCAGTCTTCAAGTGTCAAGGATAATTCTAAGACCAAATATACTCTCACTACATATGTGGCCCTTGACTTGCGTCCTCCTACCTTACCCGGGTCCACCACCCCTAGCTCGCCCCCATCAATACCTCTCGCCTACCCTTGTGACCTGTCGTGTAGAAAGCCTTCAGCTCGTGGGTATGGTCGTAGGAAGGGTGGATGATTACTTTTGACAGCGATTGTCTAATACAGTACAGTCACTCCTCGACTTTCGACGGGGTTCCGGACTGATGACCAGGTCATACGTCAAAAAGGCGAAAATGATACATAGAAATTCTAAAATGGTTGCCTCTTTTTCTTTTCAGCACCACGAGAACTCTCACTTTTACGCTTGCCAGCCATTTTAAAGGGAATTACAAACAAAAATTTTGTCAGTACACAGCGCGATCACTAACGTCAGGACTCGAAAATATGTAATTTGAAAAATATTTTATACGACCACGGCGGTCGTATATCCTGATTGTCGTAAGTCGGGTATGTTGTAAGTCGAGGAGTATCTGTATATTGTAAATATATAAAATATTGTATTCTACTACTTTACTGTATATACAGTACTGTACCTATCAGCAGATGCTGTCATCTTGAGCCTACAGTAGGCATACAGTGTCCATTCTGCTGAGTGTACAGTACAGTTTACGTGAGTATAATCATTTTTTAAGTCTAAATACTTGCGATGAAGTGGGGTAAGAGATTAGTGGGTCGCATGTTACTGACTTGACCTGATGCTTAGTCAGGTTCTCCCATTGTATATAAACTCTTCTCTCGTATGTGGTGGCAGTGGGGGTGGGGGATTAGTGGTCTCATATTTCTGACCTTCTGATACAATGTCAGGTCACCAAATGTCGAAGTGAGGTATTAGTGACTCATGACCTGAAGGTATCTTGAATAAAGATGAAAGCTAAGGTGCTCCAGTGTTTCCCACTTAGTGAATGTACAGTACAGTATGTATAACTAAAAAAAAATTTTTTCTTAACACTATTCTTGGCTGATTGTGTCTTGGTATAGTAATGCATACTACTGCAGAACACAAGTTGTATGCAAAAACAATATCTAACGAGGGAACAACCTTCTACAATGGCAGCAGAATATGAATTAAGCAATGCAAGCAGCTAGGCGACACACGCGCCTGGCACGTGAGAACACATTTGAGCATGATGCAATCTCTCAGAACTCCCAGAAAACATATTCTTAGGCCCAGAACAGAGAGGTTTGGAGAAAGATTTTCTCAGGATTTTTAGGAAAATTTGTCTGATTTTCACCCTCAGAAACTCATTTACAGACCTGGAATGAAGAGCATTTTCCAGGGCCGATTTCATTTCTAGCTATTGGAGAAATCCAGGGATTGGTGATTCCTGCAAATGGGGAGATTACTATTTGTTTTATCTTTTACTTTCATGATATTTATAAAAATTTATTTAATTTTGTCTTTAAGGTGGAAAACATGTAATTACTCATTACAGTACATCTTAAGACAATGAACATTACATTAGTTCCAGTCAGTTAAATTGAATTGAATTGAAACAGTTTATTTAGCCAGAAAAACACAGATACAGAGTGGATAATGATAACAATATTAACATGGCTGAGCCAATTGAGAACCTGAGCTCTCTTTTAGGCACCTGATATATACTATACTGTACATTTATCTCAAGGAAGTATTATGTAACATTTAGTATCATCTGGAATAGTACAGTAGCATGGTGGCATGGTGGTAATAAGAATATCTCATAATGTTACCACGGTTATCACTTCAATATTTATTTTTTATTTATTTATTTTTTTTTATAGTATACAGTACATAAATTACAGTGGAATTGAAAAACATGAATATAATGGGGGAGCAGTGCAACAAGGGTTGTACAATAATAAGGTTGAACAAGAGGACGGAGCTGTCAGGATTATGTCAAGTTGGCAATTATGTTTATTGCAATGGTAATTACTTATATATTTACATGATAATTTCCTATAAAACAGTTTTGATTGTACAATAAAAGCAGGTACTGTAATTATAGTAGGTGTTACAAGAAATATTAAGACTTAGACAATAGATATTTTTTAAGAGGTGATTTAAAGGAGGGGAGCGTAGTCTTTGCTCGGATGGGTGGGGGTAAGTTGTTCCACACCTTCACACCATGATATTTTATGGAGATCTGGGACTGAGAGGAGCGCATGGGGGGTGGTCTTAGTAGCTCTGGGTGCCGTAAGTTGTATCTCTGATTATTCCAGAACTGGAAATATTTATTGTCAAGCAAGTAATTGATAGATTTGTAAACAAAGAGGGCACAGCAGTCGGTGTTAATATCTTCGAATTTTAAAATTTTCAATATAGCAAATTTTTCATTTGTGTGATCTGTTTTTTTTCAAGTAGGTCATTGTCCATACAACTCTCTTTTGTGCAGTAACCAGAGATTGTGTTTTTGAAGAGCCAGAGGCCCCCATAGTGTGTGACAGTGTATCGGGTGTTGGTAAACAAGATCATGATAGATTTCTTTCATTGCTGTGAGAGTGAGTGACTGTCGAGTGTATACATGATACCACACTGTTTATTGACTTTACTGTGAATGGCTTGTATGTGGTTTCTTCAGTTAAGTTTCTCATCAACAATAACTCCGAGGAATTTAGTATTTTGTTCGCATTTGAGGACTGTATTACCAAGGTACAAGGGGTCCAAGTACCTTGTATTTAACTGTCGGTAGTTTCAAGAATTAACGCAGTCATTTACTGAATATTCCTTGTAAAAAAATAAATTTTAAATTAATTATTTATAGGGGATAAGTATTATTATCAGTAAATATACCGATATGCATTACTGACCACCTCCACGGCTAAAAATAGCCCAATCTCGCGGTCACTTTTCCTTTCTTGTCTCCTCACTGGCAAATGGGGGGGGCATGGGGAGGGGTGTGTGATGATAGCTGTGTTTATTACAGGGGTATAATGTTCTTTTACGGTATGTTAGACAGGTTTATAATACATTTTTATTATTTTAATATACCGGTAATCTTAATTTGAATCCAGCTTGCCAAACGTAAGTTTCAGTATAAAATAATTAGTGGTAGGACCTTGTGAGTGGCTTACGATGTTTCCATCACCACTCTTGACACACTAAACCACAATATTTAAGAGGTTAGAATTTTATACTTGGTGATTAAGACGACCCCCTAACTTTGGGCCGATTTTTTTTAATGTTCAAATTCCGTCTTATAAGCCGAGATATACGGTAGTCAGCTGAATGCACATGGGGCCCCCATAATTTTCTAATTATACATGGAGACTACATTAAATGGAAACGTTTCGGTATAGAAAATGCGTGTGTCATTTGGAGGAAAAAAAGAAAAAAAAGAAATGGTCACAACTGCGGCGGTCGTAAGTCCCGACGGTCGTAAGTCGAAGCAGTTGTAAGTAGAAGTCCAAAAATCCGGACTGCTTGGGGATTGGGTCGGTCCGGATTTTCAGATTTTCCGGATTCTCAGGCAGTACTTTTAAAATTCAAATTTAAGGAGGAATAAAGAAGAGATGAACAGTGTACATTTTGATAGTTTATTCATTAGCAAATATAGCATGCTTCATTTATCAAAACGAACAGTTTTAATGAAAAAGCTGTGAATTCTAGAATTTTATTCTTTGCCTTTTTTATATCATAAATTGTAGACTTTCCAATGTCGTATGTTTCCATTAGAACAGTATTGCTCACACCACGTTCTAGTTTCTTAATTATTTCAAGTTTGTCAGTCAATTTCAACGTGTTCTTCCTCTTCACACAACGAAGTTTATCAACTTTAGGAGCCATTATTATGGGCTTGTACAGTACTCTGTAAATGGAAAGAGTAGGACTCAAAATATTGTTATATTACAATGGTATTCTATTCATACTGTGCTTGATATAATGCATTCACGGAAATGTAATATTTTTTCTGAAATGACGAACGTATTACAGTGGAAAGTGGGATAAAATCGTGACGAAAACAATGACTTTCGCTTTCTTTCGTTCAAAAGATGTTACCGTAATCGCTTTTCGAATGGTTTTCAGTTAAAAAACTGTTGTATTACGATAATATTATATCCTAATTGACTTGAATAAATAATACGATACCATATTTCTGAATATTTTCATTAAAATCCATCAAAATCATTTTCCTTGTCATCGTCTGCAGCACCAAACAGCTTCTCCCAGTCCTTTCCTTGAACAGGGCTAGAGGGTACGTGTTTTTCAAATCGTTTTCAGTTAAAAAACTATTACATCACACGTATATTTTACCTAAACTGCGCCTGAATGAATATATTCTCGGAAATAAATAGTAATTTTGCTGAAACGTGATGTATTTCAATGTAAAATAGGATAAAATACATGGCGAAAACAAAAGACTTTACCTAAGCTTCCGATGTTCTTGAGATGTTACTCGTTTTTTAATAGTTTTCGGTTAAAATTCTGTTAAATTACAATGGTATTCTATTCATACTGTGCTTGATATAATGCACTCACAGAAATGTAATATTTTTGCTGAAATGACGTGCGTATTACTGTGGAAAGTGGGATAAAATAGTGACGAAAACAATGACTTTCGCTTTCTTTCGTTCAAAAGATGTTACCGTAATCGCTTTTCGAATGGTTTAGTTAAAAAACTGTTGTATTACAATAATATTCCCTCCTAATTGACTTGAATAAATACTTGAATGGAAATATACAATATTTTTTTTGAAACTACCCGCGTTTCAGTGTAAAGTGTCGTAATAATAAATGATAAATAATTTGTCTTCGGCACTCGTGTTTCAGGCACGGCGAGCCTCAGTTTATAGGACGTAGAGCGTTTTTACTGAAGGTTTTGTTGTTCTATTACCCTCAAAAATGTGGGTCGAACTTTAAACGAGGAATATCATAAATTAACGATTTCTTGGTCAAAAAATCAGTGTCGACCTATAAACGAGGGGGGTTATAGAGGAGTATATACGGTATGTTGTCACAGTTTGATTGCTCGTTTTAAAGTGGCGACCACGTGGTCGCTCGTTGTCGCTGTGCAGCTGTGGCGCTCACGCATGCGCACATACACACAAAAACCCGCGAAAAAAAAATTAGTTTTAGAAAAGTCCGGATTCTCGGGTGGTCCGGATTTCTGGCATCCGGATTTTTGGACTTTTACTGTATATATATATATATAATATATATATATATATATATATATATATATATATATATATATATATATATATATATATATATATATATATATATATATATATATATATATATATATATATATATATATATATATATATATATATATATATATATATATATATTATGCTATATATATATATATACACAATCAGCCTCAGCTACAGCGGTCACATTCACGTTTCCATGTTTCGTGGTGCCTGCGGCTGGTCTCACATTCTGTGAATGCGTGTGCCCCTTTGGAGAAGCGGCTGGCGAGCAGCGCCATTTCAGATCCCAACCTCCGCCATCACCATGTTGTGTGGCGTGGTGACAGTCTTGCTAAGGCCGGCTCAGTCATCAAAACATTACTGAGTTCTTCACCCACCACCCACCACAGCCGGCCCAAGTCAGTGACAGTGATAATTATAGTGAGGATATGGACTTATATGGACTTTGAGGGGTTTGACAAAGAGGCCCTGCAAGCCTCTGTGGTTCATAGTGATACAAGTGATACAGGAGAAGGCCAATAATCTGCCCTCTGCCTCGGAACCAACCCCCCATCCCCGTGTGCCCAGCCATCTTTTCTACTAATGTAAGTGTTAAAAAACCTAATATTATTGATATTTCTCTTAATTATTAATTGTGTGTGCATACCATCATAAAATTAAGAAGTCATTTTTACTACAACGTAGGTATTGTGTCTGAAAAAGTGGAGTTTGGGGGTCGGCCCGGTCTCTCTTTCAATTAATCCCATATGTTATGTTGTTCACTTTACGCTTTTCTCACTTTCCGCGGTACCCTGTGGGTTGAATTAACCGCGTAAAGTGAGGGATTCTGTATGTATATATATATATATATATATATATATATATATATATATATATATATATATATATATATATATATATATATATATATATATATATATATATATATATATATATATATATATATATATATATATATATATATATATATATATATATATATATATATATATATATATATAAATATATATATATATATATATATATATATATATATATATATATATATATATATATATATATATATATATATATATATATATATATATATATATATATATATATATATATATGTATATACACCTAGACCCCGACTTACGACGGGGTTAGGGACCCAAATCCAGGTCGTAAGTCCGACATAAAGATAAAAAAATCTACAATGAAATACAGTACAGTAAAAGTAATGAATAATGATGAATGGATACAGTACAGTGAAAGTAATAAATAATAAGGAATGGATACAGTGTGACTGAGCACTTAACCTTTAATGTAGTCAGCTGAATGCACATGGGGCCCCCATAATTTTCTAATTATACATGGAGACTACATTAACTGGAAACGTTTCGGTATAGAAAATGCGTGTGTCATTTAAAAAAAAAAAAATTTTTTTTTTATCTATATCTGAGGCGGTCGTAAGTCCCGACGGTCGTAAGTCCACGTAGTCGTAAGTCGGGGTCTAGGTGTATATATATATATATATATATATATATATATATATATATATATATATATATATATATATATATATATATATATATATATATATTATTTTATTTTATATATTTTTTCCAGGTTTGAGAGATGAAAATTAGGGAAATTTTCTGGAAATTCCGAGAAAAATTTTCTGGGGATGGGGAATTTTTTCCGGCTATGAGAGATGAAATAATGCATCGTTTTGGGAAATTCCGTAGATGAGGGATTTATTTCCGGGTTTGAAAGATGACATAATGCACAATTTCTGGAACTTCCGAGAAAAATTTCCCGGTACACGGAAAATTCTTGAAAATTCCGGGGATGAGGGATTTTTTCGGGCTTTGGCAGAGTCATCTCATTACCCGGAAATCTCTCATTCCTGGATATGCTCTGCACCAATTGTTCCGGCTAATGGAGATATCACTTCTTATTGTAGATGACCTGAGAGTTCAAAATTCCCAAGTAAGATAACAGTAAGATAACTTCAGGTATCTGAAAGAACTGCTTATCTAAAGGGTTTTTTGTCCCACAACTTTTGGTTATGGGAGGTTCTGCTATAGATAACCACAAATAAGGGGAATGGACATCCAGGTGGTAATTGAGTGTGAATGAATGGAAAGTGATTGCAGGGGAAATGTGTTTTGATGGTGAGGTTCTTGAAGTGATAAGCGAACCAGGTGGATATTTTGGGCGTTTGTGTACAGTACAGTACTATATATTATTGTTTATTTTATTTTATTCTTTTACAGTTATTTGCAATTAATGGAATGAGCCCAGGAGACTTGTTGACACATCGTGTCAGCGGTTATTATACATCCAGCCAGTCTTCAGTTGCTGACCATAAGTTTGGTAAGTCTATAATATTCTCATATTGTTGCATAGTTATACAACAGGTATGGAAGTTCAGCAAATGGCCCAAGGTTTGATTCTTAGCTGGAGTATAGGACTGGGTTCCCTTTTGCACTTTGAACATCAACAAAAAAATATGGATAGTTTGATTTCTTTATCCATTAAATTTGCCATGTTTGGCACATTCATATAAAAGGTGATCTGTCCTTTACCACCAACCTGTTCACCATTCTTTCCAACAGCATATACTCCTTTGTTAAGGAAACTTATGTTCACTAGTTTATTCTACCACTTTATTGCTCATGCTCAGTCAAGTCTCTCTCTAGATTATCTAAACTCTATATCTGCCTTGCCCATAGATCTGGAGACCATGATACACTCAATCAGTCAGTACCATCCTCATATCTGAGGGATGGTGACCTTGGTCCTCCACTCTAAATGTTTTTGGTAATGTTTTTACCAGTCTCCAAGAATATGTATTTCTCTAGGGGCCCAGTTATTAATTTCACTCATCCGTCCCAGTCTCTGCCTTCCCCTGGCCCTCTACCGTCAACATTGCCCATAATATTTATGTTATTATCCCCTCATCCCTAATTTTATGACCATAGAATATCATTTAATTTTTCTGTACATTTCAAGTATTTCTCTTGAATGTTTTGCTAATCTTAGTACTTCTTCATTTGTTTTCCACTCAGTATAACTTATTCTTAACATTCGCCTGTAACACCACATTTCTGATGTCTGCTGAAAGTGTCCATGCTTCTGACCCATACAACAGTCCTTGCCTTATATTCAGTATGGGATTTTTTATCTTGAATGCTTTGGACCTACCGGTAGGGGTTTCTGGATAAGTTTTTTTCTTTCATAATTTGGATCGTTATTCCTAAAATGTATTTAAAACAAGTATAAAAATTAGAAAAATAGAATATAAATTGCTAGTAACTACCCTGTACCATTTCCACTGTTCCACTTCCAAAATGAAGATATGTTGGGTTGATTAATCCCTTAGCTCATGGATTTTAATGCAATTTTTTTTATTTTTTGTTTTATATTTACATACAGGCAAATTAAAACACAAAATGGTTTGCTACAAGTGTTATTATTTTGGGAAATAGAGCAGGCCCCCCAAAACTGCAATAATAATCCCCACATAACTTTGGAATAAAGAAATACAATAATGGGAAGATTTTTTAGTACAATTACCATATAACATTGTTGTGGTTGTAAATAAAACACTGAATTTGTGAATAAAATCTGGCAGTACACTTGCAGCATAAGTTTCCTAACCTAATCTTACCTTCCCTAACTTAACCTAACCTTTCCTAAATCTAATCTAACATAATTTTCCTAACTTAACTTTACCTTTCCTAACATAATTTACCCTAGCCTTTCCTAAACTAAGCTAAGCTTAACCTTTCCTAATCTAACAACTCAGGATAATTATTTATTGCACATGAAAAGAAAAATGAGAACTCTTGGGATAATGAGTTATGGGGTTAACTTCAGTTACAAGGCATCATCTGAGGAGATATTTGGATCATCTGGGGAAGGGGGGGAGGGGCTTTAGAAACACATGGGCCAGAAGTTGAAGGCTGAGGCTCAGACCCAAAGCTTGATTGAAGGCATTTTGAAACATTTCTTGCAACATAAATTGTTTCTTATGTGATGGAGTTTCCTTTAGCAAGTGTTTTTTAATTTTATAGGCAGGCATTATATGTTGCTCTGATTTGAAACTCTGTTCCGTGGTACAAATCAGTTCTTCAGTAAGGTTTATCATTCTGTCAATAGAGATTTTGTTTTCTACACTGACATTATGTTCTTCATTATTATTATTGTTATCTGAATTTTCATTCATCACCATATCCAGGGGTGGATCCAGGAATATTAAAAGGGGAGGGTCCAAGAAGTTTCGGTGGGGGAGCATGGCAAGCGCAGCAAGCCCACCCAGCTGGGGGTTGTGTTTGGGTGGTTGTTGGAGGTTGTGTGTGTGGGTGGGTGGGTGGTGTTGGTGTGTGTAGCACAGTGTGGGTAATGTGAGTGGGGGAGTCGAACCTTTTTTGGGGGGTGAGGGGGAAGGGGCGTGTGGTCAGTTTTCTCCCCTTCCTCACTCAACTGTTACTGAACCTGAAGTTGATGTTGAAGCTCCTTATGATACTGAATTTGATGGTGTAGCTTAAGTTGATGGTTTAGGCCTTCGAATAATAAAGCTGTCGAAAGAACCTTGCACAGCTGCTTTCTTTTCTCATTATACATCTTTATGTAGAGGTCATTTGCATTTATTTAAATTTTAATGCTTTGTTCTGTTAATGGATCCACTTCAGAAAATATGTTCATTGCTTGCTTCATATAATATCCACAGACCTCTCAACTTTTTCAGATCGTTTTAACACCTCTAGTTTCTCGGCTAAGCTTAGACACTTTCTATAGCTTTTGAAACAACACTACCATCACTTGCTCTCTTGCTCATGTTGAATAGGGATGCAAAAATGCTGTAAGAAACCTGAGAAAGTTTTTCTCCAGTTCCTGTTCCAGATGCATGAAAACAAAAGGCCCGCCAAGTTTTGACTGTTGTTTACCACTCATTAGCAAGGCAGCTTGTTTGTGCAAGGCGCTCTTCATTTTTTTTTTTATAATGAGGACATAAATTGAATTGAGTCCTAAATTGACTAGGGTTTTAAATATGAAAAGTTTTTGGTCGAACCGTTGTTACCGGAGGCTTTACTGTACAGTAATACAGGGCATCTCTGTTAGCCGTAATCCCCCAAACCCGGAACTCTCCGATAACCAGAATTGAAATTTTCTCGGAAAATCGTTCCCAAAACTGTAATTTTCCGGAAAATTCCGGCTTTGGGAAAGCTTTTCCGAGGGGCACATTTCCGGAAATTTCCAAGAAAATTTTCCCAATACCCGGAAAATTCCGGGGATGAGGGATATTTTTCCGAGTTTGAGAGATGATGTAATGGGCAATTTCTGGAACTTCCGAAAAATTTTCTTGTTACCTGGAAAATTACGGAGACAAAGGATATTTTTCCGGGTTCGAGAGATGATGTAATGGGCAATTTCTGGAACTTCCAAGAAAAATTTTCTGTTATCTCGGAAATTCCGGAGAGTTCCGGGGATGAGGGACTTTTTTCCGGCTTTGAAAGAGTCGTCGCATTACCCGAAAATCTCTCAATCCCGGAAGTGCTCAGCACCAATTGTTTCGGCTTACGGGGATATCACTGTACAGGTACCGTATTTTTTGGCTTGAAAGATGCACTTTTTATGACAAAAATATACCTTGAAAATTACCATGCGTCTTCCAGGACGCTAGTAGCAGAGGTTTTCTTAGGGTCAACTGAAATCAGCCCCTTACTAAGACTGTTACCTCATTACAGTACTTAACAATTACAAGTATTCTCTATACAGTACTATAAAACTATTGATTTAACTAATATTGTTGATATACAGTATATTGCAAAAAATATAAAAAATAAAACCTTGCCGCTGTGCGGTTTCTTTACTAATGGCAGTGGTGCGGAAGTGCCATCTATTGAGGAATTGCTAAAGGTTGTCTGATGGTCTCAAAGCGCAGGAATGTTTGTTTCTTTATACATAGGCTCTCATATTTGGACACCTATTTACAATAGGCTCTCATATTTGGACACCCATTTAGACTGTAAAAACCTCGCAAAATTAAAATCTTCCAAATTTAAATACAACTTCCTAAGGAGAAAATTAATTTGAGTCTGGTACTTTCGATGTTTGGCTAAATTTTGCCTTATTTACCCTACTTTTTGGGCGAATTACTCCCTGTAATAAAGCAACATCCTAATAAACCAACGAAAATAACACAGATAATGTTAAATAAAAACTAAAAGCAATACAGAAAAAGTTTTTATGTTCTACGTCTTCAGCTAGAGTTGAACCTGATGACTTAGCAACTTCGTCATCCAAGTAAAAACACACACAACAACATTGGCGGTCCTTATGTTTTGAACTTTACCACCACTGGTGAGTAGAATTTTTTTTTTTAATTCAGAAACATTAATTAAAATATATATGAACAGAAAATAAGTGTTGCTTTCATATTCTTATGTAGAGTAATGACGATATGTTTTCACATGTGCTCACTTACATACGCGATCTCACTTTTTCTTTACCATTAATAGTTAGCTACTTCCATTGTTCCATTTATTAACATTAAATAACATTACTTAAAACAACCATATTATTTTTGTACATTAATTTTACTACAGCTACAACCAAGGTCTTATTTTCTTCAGTTTTATATGTAGAACCAATCAGTCACTGGTTTTGTAAACAACGAAAACAATGCTGTGTCATCTCCTCGTGTGTTTTAATATTTTACGTATTATTAATGAATTGTATTGTTCATTTTGCACACATAAACATTAATTAAATCAAAAAGAAATTAATTACAGTGGTCCCTCGGATAACGAACACAATTCGTTCCAGAAGGTCGTTCGTTAACCGAAAATTTCGTTAAATGTAACATTTGTTTCAATGGGGTTTTGGGTAATTGGTTCCACCTCACCGAAAATTACATACAAACTAAAAATAAATGCAGTAAAGTACACATACTTTGAGGTGTGCATGTAGAAGGCTCCTGGTTGATGATGATGATGATTGGAATTAGAAGTGGGGGTGGAGGAGAAGGGAGAAGAGAAGGAAGTGGGAATGGAAGAGAAATCACCCCATGCTTCATGCCGCCATTTCACCCATAAAACTTTAGTTCACTTGGTGTAATTCAAGATTATTTTCTCTAAATCAACACTGCACTGCTCTATATATTGTCAATATGTAAAATATACTTCAGAATGCCCAATAATTGTACTGTAAAAATGTAAAAATAGTTTATGTTCAAGAGAGTCTCAAGCAAGATGTTACCTCCACTGAGCAGCGACACAGACTGACACCTGCTGGGTGAGTCAAGTGGCTGTTTGGCGCGCTAAAAACTAGTTTCCTGTACTTCAAAAATATGTTCAATAATTGTTGAA